ATGTCCTGGAACGTTTATAAAACCCAGTTCGAAGCAGCGGCAACTAGTAACTGTTGGAACGGAAAAGAACGAGCAACAGCACTGATACTGGCCCTGCGAGGTTCAGCAGCAGAGGTTCTTCAGACGATTCCGGCGGAGAACCACTTCAACTATGAAGTTCTGATTAGCGCGTTAGATTTACGTTATGGTGAAGAACATATGAAACAGATTTATCGGTCTCAGCTTAGAAACAGAACGCAACGATCTGGTGAATCTATTCAGCAGCTGGCACAAGATATCGAACGGTTGACATTGCTGTCGTATCCGACATCAGACACCGAGCATAGAGACGAAACTGCCCTGGATACGTTTATCAAAGCCCTTCGTGATTCGGAACTCAAGCAATCCCTTCTCTTGTCAGATAAACGAAAACTCAAGGATGCCGTTGCGCACAGTCTCACTTTTGAATCGGCAAAGCAAGCATCAAAAAGTGACGTACGTCTACGCCAAGTACATGAAGAATGCTCTTGCCAGAAGGTGGTTGTGAAACGCAAACCCCAACAGCATGGTGTACCCAATGCTGGATTTGTGGTGAAAAAGGCCATCTACGTCGTGATTGTAAACACCGCCTAAAAGATAACTACTGCCGAAATTGCGCGACAAGATGGCACAAAAGAAGAAAAGATGATCCTGTATCACGATTGGCCCCTTCTAACGAAGGGGCCGATCTAATGAAAAGCTAATAAGAGCCAACTTTGTGGGGCAGAGGTTGGCTAGTAGAATTGACGCCCCCAGTACCGTAATTAACGTTTCCAGACTACATCGAAATCGAAACGACCTATGGCTGAACGGAAAAGTTGATCAACGAGAATGTGTAATTACAGTCGACACCGGAGCAACAAAATCGATTTTAAGATCTGATTTGGTACCCAATCTGAAGAAAGAGACTTCTAACAAATGCATCCTTCGAACAGCTACCGGAAGAACAGCACCAGTCTATGGAAAGATTCTCCGTACTTTTCAGCTAGGCGACTTGTTATTCGAAGGTTCATTCTTAGTCGCGGATATCATTGACGAATGCATAATAGGTGTCGACTTTCTGACAAAATATGGGTTCAAAATTGACTTAGAAAAACTCATTCTTAGATGGAGAAATACAGAATAATGGAGGATAGCGACGAAAAATGCATTCGAGTGACAGTCGATTGTGACATAGAACTACCTCAATCATCTGAAAACATCGTATGGGGCAAGTTGAATTGCGATCCAAGGGACCACCAGTTCTATTTGATGGAGCCAACCTCAACGACAAATGTACAGAACGCGGTCAGTGGAAAATGCCTGGTAGAAGCGAACAAAAATGGTCTTATTCCTGTCAGAATAATGAATACCGCTAAACACACTATTAGAATTAAAAAAGACGAGGAAATAGGTAATTGCCAATCAATAAATTTGGTGAAATCATTAGATGTGGAGCAACAGGAAAAGGTTCTACCAACTGACAAAGATAGACTCAAAGAACTTACCAAAAATCTACTGGATGAACTCAATTTGTATCAAGAAAACCGTCTAAAAGCCGAAGCGTTGATTGCTGATTTTACAGAATACGTGGATAATCTTCGACAGCGATTAAACCATATCCACCGTTACGTACGCCTTAAAATTATGAAAAACACGGAGGCGGCCAAAACCAGATACGACTTGAAAGGAAGCAGTGGCGGTTTTGCTGTCGACGAGTTAGTTTGGCTGTACAATCCACAGCGAAAGAAAGGACGTTTTCAAAAGCTCCAGCGAGGGTGGGAATATCAAGTCATCACCCGCTTGAATGACGTCGTCTACCGTATTCAAGAATATCGGAAGCCGAGAGCTAGAATGAAGATCGTTCATTTTGATAGACTGGCTCCGTACCATGCGGACACCGGAACGAAAGCTGTTCGGGACGAACAGAACTAAGAAGGGGGTAATGTTATAACCGTGCTACCGAACGCACTAGATTCTAGCGTATTCTAGAATGTTCTAGTGAATGGAGCATTCTAGAGTATGCTAGAATCGGACCATCTAGAAGAATCTAGAAACGACGCTTGCGAAGAGTATATAAGCGCACGTCGCAAGAAGATTAGCGATTAGTGAAATTCGTGATTAGTGAAATTCGTGATTTTGTGATTTTGTGAATAGCGATTCGGTGAATTATTTAAAGCGATATTTGATTTGTTTTGTTGACGTTGTCATAGCGATAGATTTTGAACAATTTAAAAGTTAATTGTTGCGTTAATTTGAATTTGCTAGAAATAAACGATTAGTTGATTTCTTCTGTAAATAAAGTTTAATAACTAATAACTGTTTGGAGTATTTTATTCAATCGAAGATTCGAACCCGTCGCATCGTAAATCGGTTACGACAACGAGTATTATAACAATAGGATCACGAGTTTATTTGATTTCAAATACGCAGGAATGAAGCTCTGTGAAGACCCATAAGGCTGTGAAAACCAATAAAACTGTAAAGAAATACGTTGTTACAAAGCAACTCGCCGAGCACAGCCACATTAACAGAAATTTCATACAACTGCAATGAAATGAACATTTTTTTCACGCAAATCAATTTTGAAAGTTATCAAAATCAACAGCAAAAATGGAATGCCATATTGACTCATTATAAATGATAAATATATATTTATTTTTATTAACGTAGACTACGTATTATATATAATATATTAATATATAATATTATTATTTATAACATGGGTCAGCGTTTTTATTTTTAAATATGTGGTTTATATAGTTTCTTTAAACAAAACAGGCCATAATGAATATAGTGTAAAATCATCGGCGTATGATAATATTCCGATATTAGATGGAGGGATGTCAGCTTTCGAGACGTAGAGGTTGAATAATGTTGGAGAATGTACTGAATTTTGTGGAACACCGGTGGTGATGTTGTTAGATGTTGATTTGTGTTTGTGGAACTCGATTGTTTTTGGTCTGCCTTTTAAATAATTTGATAACCATCTAACGATTGCGTGAAAAATTGTTTTATGTTGTAGGTCGTTTATGAGAGTTCTGTGATTGGCAGTGTCGAACGCTTTTGATAGATCTAGAGCTTTATTTTTGTTCGATGACATGGTTTTTTTTATATTGAAGCCTATGGAGATATCTGTAGTAAGTTGCAGGAGAACTGTGTTTGTGGAGTGCTCTGGTCTGAAACCGTGTTGATGGTTGGCTAGTGCTATGTTCTTGCTGATAATGGGTAAGAGACATTTTTTTTTCAATTTAACAGCTGGAGACAGTAATCGTAGTGAAACATAGAGGTAGGCATTAGTTTTCAGCTTTACTCGGTTTGAGAATTTGAAATATCGAAGATGTCTTCTGGATTTGAGGTATTGTGCATGTTTTTAAAGATTAGCCGAAGATGTGTGCAAGATAATTAATTCCTTTTTGTTCTAGGTTATTTAGATGAAATATTGTAAGTTGATCTGGACTAAATACTTTTGATTGATTAGCTTGTTTTATGGTGTTGATTATTGTTGATGATTCTATTTCTGGGATATAATGAAGACTCTTTTTTAATTTGACGGTGCATCACTCAGTTGGTTGTGCTAGATGTGTATTTGATGAAGCTTGTAAATTGTTTGTTGAATTTGTTAGCTGTGGTCTGAGGGCTTACCATTGTTTCGTTGTTGAAATTGGTTACTACGTTGAGTGATATTTTTGGTTTATCATTTATGTTCTTGAAATTTTGCCAAAGTTTTTTAGTTTTGAATAGTGTTCTTGATTTGCCGAGGCCATCAAAAACAATCCTTTTTGCCAATTTTTTACGGTCGTTAAACTGTTTATTGCAAGTTGGTGAAGAATTTAATAAGCGCGAAATTATTTTAAAATCGTGTATGATAATATAATTAAAAAATTTTGTGATCATTGTGACGGAGCTGGGTTTGACGATTTCACGTACGCTATGAAAATAACTAAATAAATAACTAAACTATAACATGATCATACAGACAGTGGCGGATCGAGGTTGTCTAAATCCGCCATTGCATACAAGTGTCATTAACTTAATGATAACCACTGATGGTGATAAGTTTATACCTCAGTTCTGATAACTATTAACTGTGATAGCATTACACATTTTTGATAGATCTAGAGCATTTATTTTTGTTCGATGACGTGGTTTTTATTTTTATACTTATTTCTATTTTTGCCACAGTAAGAATGTTTCATGACACAAGCGGAATAGTTACGCGTAAGCCTTTAACACATAGGCCTACTGTGGAGAATAAATTGAATGCAGCAGAAAACGGATGACTGCGAAGAATCATAAAAATCAGCTATCAAGACTATATTCCAAATAGAGATTAGACGTAAAACTGGTAGAACGGGTCAGCCATACATAACCGAAGTGATCAGAATGCGCAGAATGAAATGGACCGATACGTGTTGCGAATGAATTCAAATATAACCATCAAGAAAGCCATGATGTGTAAACCTCAAGGGGCGAGACCAAGAGAAAGACGACCACGAAGATGGTTCGACTGCTTGGCAAAGATCTACAACGGGCAGGATTGTCCAAATATGGAATTACAAAGAGAAGATCCCGATTGACACCAGAAGAGCTTGCCCAGGATGAAGACCGCTGGAGAGATGTCGTGAGGAAATCAATGGCTGCACACAGCTGATTGATGATAAAGAAGCGATAATAAAAACAGAACACAAAAAATGACAAACGGACGGCAAGAATAGCTGAAATAAAATATTTAGAGCAAAAATGCTTACTATCAGACCCCGCAACCACATGCTGTAAGGTTGTCAAGCACTAATAATCAGCGGCGGATCTAGACAAGTTTGAAGGGAGCTTGAAGTCTTATATTTTTGAAATCTTTTAACGTTGACCGGGGGAATTTTCCAAAAAGTTGCTGATGACCAGGAAGAATTAATTTTTAAAATATTTAAATGTCTACCAGGGGGGGCCAACATTTGTGAAAATGTGGTCAAAATTTGACTGACGATATTTTTTTCCTTTTTAGCATTATAACCAACTTAAATGCATGTACTATGGTCATAAACGATTAGCATTTATCAAACTTTCTTCAGCTAAATTCTCTTAAATCTGAAGTAATGTCTCTTGGCACTCCACAACAGCTTATCAAATGTTCCTCCTAATCACACGTTCTCTTGGCTGATTCTTCTCTCTACTCAACTCCTAAACTAAAATTTTTAGGCTTAACTTTTGACTCTTCTCTATCTTTTAATTCTCATGTCTTAGCTTTGATCAAATCTTGTAACTATTATACTTGGACTATTCGTCATATGTGCAATTTTCTCGCTGAAGATATTGCTTCTGCACTGGCTATGTGTCTCGTAATATCACGTTTAAATTATTGGAATTCTTTTATCTACGATCTTCCTTCCCACTTTTTAATTTTACTTAAAAAAGCTCAAAATAGAGTTGCAAAAATTGTTTTAAATATCAGTAATTTATCTTTCAGCACAGATTCACCCATTCAACTATATTGATTACTAGTTCGTCAACGCATTATATTAAAACTCGCCGTCCTCACGTACAAGCTACATAATACATCTCAACCATCATATCTTCATCCACTTATATCGCATCGTTCATCAACTTCGTTCGTCTTCATATACTACTTAGTTGCATCAACCTGTCAGCAATTCATCAGTCGTCAACAAATGGTTTACGTACAGCCTTCCTTCCATGTGGAATGGTTTGCCTGCCATTATTCGTCAACAACCATCCATCAAACTTTTTAGGAAACGATTAAAGAACTTTTTGTTTATCCAGGCCTACGAAAACGTCGAAAGGAATTGTTTATCTAAGCGTCCCTGAAGCTATGCACAGGACGCGATATAAGTGAATAATAATAATAATGTCAATTTTTCCTTCAAATCAGTACTTTTTCCGTTAAAACAATGACTTTAACAACTTTTATTACAAATACGATTCACAACGGGGGCACTTTCCCCAGATCCGCCACTGCTAATAATTAATTCGATGATTTGAAAGGTGATTGAAACATTGAGGAGAGATTTGAAATGAATTCTTGGAAAAATCCTGAAAAGATCTATTCAATCTCAAAAGGTTTGAAATAATGATCAACTAAAACTTGCGATTTCTTAAATTTCCAAGTAAACAAACTTTCTTTTCAATTAAATAGTAAATCAAGTGACCCATTTTAACAATGGAAATTAAATTTGTCTAACAAATTAACGCAACTGTCTGTTGTACAATTCAGTTCATTATTCAATTGTGAATTTTACAGATATTCAAAATTAATAAAATTATTAAGAATAAGTTTAAAATAACTTAACAATGCAATGTAAAGAATGTTTCAAACATTAACGGGTGAAACAAATTTCTTGAATTTTCTTCCAACTGATTTGCTGGCCACCTGTTAGTTTGATTGGTTACCAATTTTAACATCAACCATTTTAAGCAATAAAAAAATCAATTAATCATACTTTATTGTCAGAAGACGTATTTTTTTCACTGGTGTCCTCCAATTTTTCTAAAAGTAAACATTAGAACATAAGCAACTTATTTTGTAAACTTAGAAACATGAAATTGCATAATATACTACTTGAATATTGAACCAAACGTCACTGGAGAATCAATTTAACAATCTACAATCAATATACACCTACCCTCAATCTTTCATGTGTAATGTAATATATGAGATCTTGCTGATGCACTTGCCACAAGTTAAGTGTGTAATTAATTAGATAATGCTAATCAAAAATTATAAATGTTCAAAATCCATTAAACCTAATTCATATATGTAAAATATCATATATAAACGTAAAAAAAACACTACAGTACAATGTATGTATAGTTAAAATATTAATGATTGTTATACTAGGCTATTAACAATTATTTTTCTGTATGTACGGCATGTACCACCGGTGACGATAGTTTTTGTTTTGTGACTGATTTCGTATGCCCCGCCTGCATCAACCCGCGACAACGGGGCCCAGATGATGATACGATTACCGGGATCGAAACTGCTACTTCATTTCAGTATTTGGGAGATGTGCTGGATTGTACTGGAACAGCTGATACCGCCGTTCGTGGACGCATACGTGAGGCGTGGGGCAGATGGCACCCTTTGTCTCGGTACTGGTGCGACTTAGCATTCCTCTACCGCTGCGCTCAGAGCTGTAAAACACAGCTATACGTTCTGTTCTGATGTATAGTGCAGAAACGTGGCCGATGACAAAACTCAAACAGCAGCTTCACCGAACTGACATGAAGATGATTCATTGGACGCAGCATGTTGGCCTAAGGGACCATATCTATACAACCGAGATCCTCAACCGATCGGGACTGTGCACATTGAAGGATGCATGTCGTCATCATCGCCTACGATGGTTTGGCCATCTGAATTTCTGCTACTGAGCACCAGGTGCCTGGCACCCGCCCAAGAGGTCGCCCAAAGAAGTTCTGGATGCAGGCCATACAGGAAAACTTGAAGGCACTTGGTCTCAAGAAGACAGAAGCAATGGATAGATCGGCTTCGAGACAGAACCTGATGAATGGAATTAAAAAAGTCTGACCCATAACGGATGGATTGATTGATTGAATTATTACAGCATGCTTTTTTATATTAGCTGATGAATGTTATTTAATGTTGATTTCCTATAAGTGTATATTATCTACATATGGCCTAATTTATCATGGAATTATGAAACATGTAATGTAGTGCTTCTGCTTGTCCAACAATACACACAATAAAAACAATTTTAAACTTAGTTTTTATATTGCATATTTCAGGTGGAATAAAACAAAATTGAATAAATAAAAATCAAAACGTCAATCCTAATATTCCTACAAAATTAAATCAAATGCCTATACTAAATTTTCCTTAAAGCTTAAGTTAAAATTTAACGAGATTATTTAGTTAATGTTAATTACAAGCAAAAGAAGAAATAAAAAATTTCTAGAAAATAACCTGCATGGATTTTTGGTGATAATTTATCTTCACTAAGGACAACAAGATCCTTCGATTTAATGAAATTTTGATTTCCATTTCCAATATCAATTGACATTTTCATCATAGTTTGCACATCGTTTGAGTTGCATGATGTTAAATATTTTACTAGAAGAGATGGACGTTTTGAAAACCAACAAATTTTTGATGAGTTGGAACATGTAAATAATTTTAACCATTTATTGCGTAAATCCAATTGATATGCTATATAAATATTCAAATTTTTTCCATTGGACAAAATATATTCTTGCCTTTGAAACAGGATAGTTGAAAAATCATAGTATTTCATAAGCATTTTGAAAAATATTTTCAAAAATGATTCCTGTTTAAGCTTTTTTGCAAAAATACTGTCATAACATTTCAATAAAAGTTCTGCTGTTAGAAAAGATTTTGGGATAGCAGAAAATGTTTTTAGAAAAAAGGAAGAAAATAGACAAAAAGGATTTTGTAAAAACAAGTTTGATGAGATCCATGAATGTTTCAAACTGCATAACAGAACGTCTTCAGCGTGTTCATCAACAAACTTCACAACTGCTCCACGAACACTGTAGTCACAATTTAACATATTCTCAATTATAGCAACATTATGAAACTCGTCATCATCAACACCAAGACTGTCACAAGCTTCGAATACTGAGTTGTGATAATCTGGAAAACCATTAATTTTATTTTTCATTTTGTTCTTCCAGTGGCCTTCATTCAGATCAATTTCTTCCTGATAATTTACTGTATCTTTCGAAGGCTTCTTCATTGCCATCAAATCAAACAATTAAAAAACTGATTCTAAAACATTGTTAATTTGAAATATTTAATGAACTGATTCTAAAGCATTTTTAATTTGAAAATTAATTAAATATTATTTTATGTGACATACCATTATCATTGAAAATGTAATTTCAACTGTATTTAAAATTGAAATTTAAAAAAATTTATTGAATAAATTAACCTAACCTCTAATTTAATGATTTACTATTAATTTCATCTGCCGTGCAAATGCCTTTCACTTATTTTTAATTTCTTAATTTTCAATTTAAACCTATTTTAACAACTAATTTAAATTTTAAATTTAAAAAACTGGGTGGAAGTAAAAAAAAACGATAACTAAACTTTTAAAAGGTTGTTAACAAGCTAAATAAAACTTATTTAAAACGGTCTGTTAAATCTAAATTTAAAAAATAAATTAGTTAAATTTTCAAATATGAAAAAATATTTTATCTACTAAAAAAACAACTGCAATTATATCAAATCGACTCAAATATTAACCGCAGAACGCCCATAGCACGTCTGTCAAAATTTAAAAGTGCATTTTAGTTTCTAGTTCTACTCACTGATCTTTAATACACACACATATATATTAATATATACATAATAATAATAAAATAATAGCTATAACTTGTATAGCGCTAAGGAGAAGCAACAGAAGCGCTGTTTGCCAGACAAGCTAGTGCAACATGATATATGATATAAAATGGAAATTACATTTAAGATATAATAGATATAATGTTGTTTAAATGTTATTAGCGATTATAACAAAGAGTTTTTAGTTTTTTCTCAAAAGTAGCCAGTGAAGAACAGGTTTTAATATGATCTGGTAATGTGTTCTAAATTGATGGTGAAGAATAAGGGGGGCACGGTTAGCAATGTTGGTTGGCACATGTTGCTTGACTATTGTAGGTGCTTTGGATGAACGCAAGTTTCTGTTGGATTCTGTGATGGCGATTAGATTTCTTAAGTAAATTGGCTGTGATGTTGAAAGTGTCTTGAATGTTATTGTAAAAATTTTAAATGGGATCCGAAATTTGATTGAGAGCCAGTGAAGAGTTTTAAGTTAAATTTTAAGGGCAACACGTGCACTTTTATTCATCAATGTTTGAAGTCTTTTTATTTGTAGTTGTGTGATGCCATATAAAAGACTATTGCAGTAATCTAATCTGGTTAAGATTGAACAATGTATTAATGAAAATGCTACTGTTGTTGACAAAAATGGTCTAATGTGACTAATTGCTCTAAGGTGATAGTTGCATGTTTGAATTATTGAAGTAATATATAATAAGTCAGAGGAAGAAAAGGATCTAGAAATCATTGTTCATCAAAGCACAAAACCGTCAAGACAATGTACAGCTGCAGCGGCTAGAGCCAATACGATCTTGGGATTTATAAGAGGAACAATGGTCAGCAGAGAGAAGCATATTATACTGAAACTGTATAAAACCCTAGTCAGACCTCATCTGGAGTACTGTGTTCAAGCATGGAGCCCATATATGCAGAAAGATAAGGAAGTTTTGGAAAAAGTACAGCGTAGAGCCACAAGAATGATTAGAGGAATCGGAAAAATGGAATACGATGAGAGATTGAAAAAATGCGACTTGGCATCATTGGAAAAAGGAAGATGTAGAGGAGATCTAATCCAAACATAAATTGATCACGAATAGGGAAACAACACCATACTCGAGATTTTTCAGGCTAGTAAACAGTGATAAACTATGAGGGCACAGATTTAAGATTTTCAAAAACTCGGATGGAAAAATAAAGAGCAGATTCTTCAGCAGTAGAGTGGTCAACGCCTTGAACGAGCTAAGCGATGATGCATTCTCTGCGAATTCACTCAACAGCTTCAAAGCCAAACTCGGACAGATAGGATATTAGGAGATCTAATTAGTAGTGGTTCTTACACAGACCATAGTCTTCTAAACCACTTTAAACCCCGTTAATAATAATAATAATTAATAATAATAATAATATACTTATCAAAACTTAGCTTTGAATCTAGTATGATGCCGAGTGTTTTCACTTGATTGCTTTTTGTAATGGGATTGTGTGGCTTGATTCGAATGTTGACAATGTTGTTATTTCTTTTTTAATCTGGTAGGTTCCTAATTTGATGGTTAACGAAGTTTTTACTTCACCTGTTTTATTAGAACATGGAGTTCCCCAAGGATCCGTTTTGAGTCCATTGCTATTTTCTGCCTATATATTAGGGTGGAATGAATTTGGCAAAAAAGAAATTTTCCTTATTTTTTAATTTCCTGTATCGTTAATCGATGACCCTATAGGAAAGCATCACTCATACAAAAAATTAAAAGACTGCGACTTTACCTTGAGGTGGCGCACCATGAAGGCATTTCATAAAAAAATTTGTATTTGTACTCTAACAAGAAAATATTTTTCAATGCTCTTAAGAACTAATTTGTCTTTGTTATTTGTTTACAAAGTTTGCTTGTTAGGCTCGTGATGTAAACAAAATTTGTTGTGAGACAAAGTATTGAAATTAATATTTAAAAAATGCCTAAAACTCGGAAAAATGTTATTTAAAGAAAAACCAGAGCTAAAACCTAATATATACTGCCGATATGTTGACGATATATTTGTTACATATGAAGATGATGATCAAATAGGAAAACTACAACAACTGAATTCGTCAAAATTAAAATAAAGTTTACAATGGAAAAATTAACTGATAATAAACTACCATTCCCAAACGTATTAATACAAAATGTGCAAGATGAATTTAAAACATCAGTATACATCAAAGCAACAAACAAAGGTTCATGCCTCAATGGCAATTGTGAATGTTGTCAATCTCTGCCTTTGTAAACAGAGTCCATACCAGTGATGACGTAAGTACTCAAAAAATGTACTTAAGTATAAGTGCTAAGTACTAAGTAATAAAAGTACTTAAGTATAAGTGCTAAGTACCAAAACAAATTGCATACTTGATACTTATAAGTACTAAGTATAAGTACTAAGTGCATAAGTACCTAAGTACATACCATGGTTAATTTGAAATATTTATAAATTTATTAAACTCAGAAATCAACTCATTATTTACAGTAATTTATTTACATCAATAAAAGAGTTTGTTCTTTTTGAGTAAAAGTAAAGTTTCAAATGATTCATCACTTAAACGATTTCTTTTAGGAGTGAGAATCATTCCAGCCTGGCTAAATATACGTATAAGGATTGTTATATATAAAAATATATATATATATATATATATAATAACTACTATATATAGCGTGCATGTGTATATAGATCATGTAGAGTCTATGATATAGATATATAGATGTCAGAGTGATGTGAGTTAACCACCTTTTAATGACTCAATTAGCCAATGGTTATCTTAACATCCCGCTATCCATGACTAAACAAGAACAAATGTTGATAAGAGAGATAAACAAGAATGTCAATGTGAAAATGTGTGTGTGTGTTTTCATCACAGTTTTCAATTTTTAAATGTTGACATTATCTTATTTTTGCTTAAAATTTTTCTGGTACTTACAGGAAAAATTTATAGTATCTAAGTGCTACATTTGTACTTAAGTACGTACTTAAGTACAAATGTACTTAAGTACTCGTCATCACTGGTCCATACACACTCTTCTGATATAGGAAGCAGGAGAACAGAACTAGGTAGAATCACTAAACTACTCATTAATAATGGACATAAAAATTTCATGATCCAGAAAATAATAGAACGCAAAGAACAAAAATCAACAACAACAACATGCAACCAACAATTATAACAAAAAAAGTAATATATTGTTATAATACTCGCTGTCGTAACCGATTTACGATGTGACGGGTTCGAATCTTCGATTGAATAAAATACTCCAAACAGTTATTAGTTATTAAACTTTATTTACAGAAGAAATCAACTAATCGTTTATTTCTAGCAAATTCAAATTAACACAACAATTAACTTTTAAATTGTTCAAAATCTATCGTTATGACAACGTCAACAAAACAAATCAAATATCGCTTTAAATATTCACCGAATCGCTATTCACAAAATCACATAGTCACGAATTTACAAAATCACGAATTTCACTAATCGCTAATCTTCTTGCGACGTGCGCTTATATACTCTTCGCAAGCGTCGTTTCTAGATTCTTCTAGATGGTCCGATTCTAGCATATTCTAGAATGTTCTAGTGCGTTCGGTAGCACGGTTATAACAATATTATAAGAGTCACATGTCAACCGCTTTTGAACAGGATAAAAAAAAACCATGAAAAGAAAACGATCATCATAAACTACGAATATACTACTCTAACCAAAGAACGTTATCTCTTGTGATGAAAAACAATTGCAGTTGTAAACCAGAATCGATAATGAATTATAGCCATCTAATATATTTGTTCAAATGTTATATTGGTGAGTGTGGGCACCATAATTCCGAATATATTGGTATGACGACCACCAAGTTATCGAGAACTCAGGATGCACGTACAAACTAGCGCTATAAAAGATCACATGAAAGAGAAAACAAGACCAAAATTACTAGACAAATCTTGAACTACAATGTTGAAATCTTACATTACAATAACAACCATTATAATAGCCGAATCAATACCCATAGAACAAAGGCATCCAATAATAAATATTCAACAACAAACAATTGAAATTCTTCCTACCAATAAATTAAAAACAGAGAAATCATCGATAATGAAACACGTAAAGTTAATTAAATGAGCGTTAAGTATTCACTTTGAACAATCAATCAATCTTTGTTTTGCGTCCAGAGACCCCGGTTCCCCGAGGTAGGACGTTGTTTTCTTTGCCATCAACTTTTTGCGCCAAATTAGACGATCAGTTGAATCCATTTCATTTAAATTTAGAGCTTTCGTGTCTTGCTGGATTGTTTGCCACCAACACTTCTTTGGACGGCCTTTGGGACGTGTGCCAGGTACTTCAACATCTGCAAGAGAAGTTATGGCACTGTTTCCACTTCGTTTGACATGACCAAACTACC